CCATTTCAATAATGGTCTTACTACTTCCTCCTTTAAGCAAGCTGGGATCCTACTCTGCTGCAATCAGGCATTCAGTACTCCTTGGACCCACTCAACCAGTCCCTCTTTAGCTTTTAATAAGCCAGGACAGATAGTTCCTTTTCATGAGGAATTTTGAATTTTCCAAGATGGGAGATGAATACCTCAGCAGAAGCTAATTTCTAGTACATAATATTATTTTATTTCATAACTGGATACCTTTTATAGAAGTATTTTCAATTTAATTTTTCTTATTTTTATTTATTTTGTGTTTTTTGTTAACATATAGCTGTGGCTTATAATACAGAGAAGACTGTATTGTTGTGTTAAGAAAATTCAGGTTATTCTCTACATGTAAATAAATTTGCTTTGTTTACAGCTTACAAATATAACAGGACAAAGACTGTTTTAATTGTAAGTAAACAATCTGCATAAATGTATAATGCAATCTAGAAACAGTACTATGATAAAATTTTCTTTTAATGGAATTTCCTTCCATCATTCAGAATACAAATAATTATATTTAGTCACTACAAGAGACACATTGAATGGCTGATTCAAATCTGACATCCCTTATTGTCTTTTGGGGATCTTAAAAATATGAGTTCCTAAACTCTAGGGAGGCTGTGATAAAAGCAGAATGCTTTGGGGTTCTACTATACTGCGAAGGCAACATTTCATTAAGTGCCCAATGGCCATCATCCCTACTGTGTAGCTCAGAACAAATTATTTATGTGAAAGTTTATTTCAGCCTTGGGAATAACTCCATAAACAGTATGGATCTTGAAATCATTTTGCTAGATTTATAGGGGGTAGTAGAAGAAGGAATGTGAACTTTGTTCCTCCTGAAACCTCATTTCTCAATTGACTATACTGAGGAGGCAGAGCCCTGATAGCCTTATCATTATAGTTGATTATTACCTAAAGCTAGAAGGCTAGTTCATCCTTATTTTGTTTTCTTCTCTTTCAAAGAGCTCACTATGTAATGTGTTTAGTTTTTGAGATAGGAGAGACTAGCTTTAAGTGGATGACCTGCATTTAATGTATGAATTTCAAGGCCATGTGTGAAGTTGAACTTGGGCTTCTCACAGGCATGTCCACCATCTCTGAATGACTTTTCACTTTCCCCTGAAAACTCCATTATTCTTTAAATTCTTACAAAAAGAGAGAACTTGTGTCATCTTGCACATTGGTACTTAACAGTTGAAGTTTCATGTTAGAATTTCGAACAAAGAATACTGCTAAGGCCTTCTCTGGGTGACTTTAGTGTTGCCAGAAACTATGTATTTGAATCTGATCAGTCCACTATAACCTTACGGTCTGGAGTGTCAAACATGCTAATCATTTGGCTAACTTCTTATCCTTTTTGATATCTTATGTGTCTTGCTATTCTGCACATTGACCTGCAAGCTTATCTTCCTCTGCCTATTCACCTGTGAGTGAAACCCATGTTTTGCTCTGGAAAAAAAAATTAAGATGAATCAATTGATATGTACATCCTGTCATTATCATTTCTTTTTCTACAGTGTCATGCTATAGAATCTGTAGACAATCAAATTATTTCTGCAGATTGCACAAATTATAATCAGAGGGAAAATGGGTTGCATTATGTATTTTGTATTCACAAAATAAAATAATGCACGTGTACTAAAGTTAACTTTTGTCATGCACTATTAGATTCTCTAGCCAAATAGATGGCAGGATGTGGCCCTGTAATCATAACTTGAGCAAATTCCAAGTGCCTTTTTTCTTTGCCAGCTAGCTCCTCCTTTGCTCCAGTATCATAAGGCAAATACATTGTCACAACTATAAGTAAAATTTCATTAAGAGTTTATGTAAAATTTGTTGTTCAGTCGTGTCCGACTCTTCGTGACCCCCATAGACCAGAGCATGCCAGGCCCTCCTCTCTTTCTTGTTTGGACTGGGGAGTTTAATGCAAGGGCAGGGAGTTGGTCCTTGATATTTTACAAGACAATGGGAGTTGATAATAGACATCCCGCTGCCTACTTCCTATCTGTTTTGCTTAACTACAATAGCCATGGAAACTCAGTGGGGAAGTGGAAGTGGTAAAACCACTCTTTAAATATCTTATTTACCTTGAAAGCCCTATTGAGGTCTTTATTAGTTGGTTTTGACTTGATGTCACAGAACACATGCTGGTAGTCAATATTCCCCAAATTTATGGAGATACTAGAAGGAATATGTTGGCTAAAATCCAGCCAGTGTATTTTGGAGTTACTAAAGTTTCCAGGTAGCCCAAATTATATGTGCTAGGAGTAAATTATACAGATGTATTTTTAGACTGCCAAGGTTCTGTTTGAATTTTTTGTATAGAAAATTTCCAGCCCTAGTTTTAAGTAGAAGTTGCCTTAAAACTTAATAGTCAACAAAACGATAGATCTTCTTAAATGTTTCTGTAGTAGTAAAGCAGTATTATACATTTCCTTGGATTCTTCACAGGTACCACAAAATGTAGAGCTGTTGAAAGTTACATTTTGAAAATAAAAGGACAAAGTTGTAAATCTATTAGCATTACACATAGCATTAAGCTTGTAAGCTTGATTTGAGCAGAGGTTTTCTTATTTAATTCTAAAGTATCTTATATTAGCAAAATAAAGTAGGTCATACCAGGGGATAGCTATGTTAGTCTGTTGGTAGCAAAAACAACAGAGACTGTTGTTGTTGTTTAGTCGTTTAGACATGTCCAACTCTTTGTGACGCCCATGGACCAGAGCACGCCAGGCCTTCCTGTCTTCCACTGCCTCCTGGAGTTGGGTCAAATTCATGTTGGTAGGTTCGATGACACTGTCCAACCATCTCATCCTCTGTCGTCCCTTTTTCCTCTTGCCTTCACACTTTCCTAACACCAGGGTCTTTTCTAGGGAGTCTTCTTTTCTCATGAGATGGCTAAAGTATTGGAGCCTCAGCTTCAGGATATGTCCTTCCATTGAGCACTCAGGGTTGATTTCCTTTAGAATGGATAGGTTTGGTCTCTCACGAGCCTTCTACAGCACCACAATTCAAAAGCATCAATTCTTTGGTGGTCAGCTTTCTTTATGGTCCAGCTCTCGCTTCCATATATCACTACAGGAAAATCCATAGCTTTGACTATGCAGACCTTTGTCGGCAAGGTGATGTCTCTGCTTTTTAAGATATTGTCTAGGTTTGTCATCGCTTTCCTCCGAAGAAGCAGGTATCTTTTAATTTTGTGGCTGCTGTCTCCATCTGCAATGATCATGGAGCTCAAGAAAGTAAAATCTGTCACTGCCTCCATATCTTCCCCTTCTATTTTTCTACCATATGTTTTCATGGTCAATAGCCGACTTCTGTGGCAGCAGAATTCATCTGAGGGAGTAGGCTGCAGTCCATAAGTTGTTTTAGTTATGATTTATTTATTTACTTAATTTACATGCTATCTTTCTTCCAAGAGGGATCCAAGAAACTTACAAAGATTTTAAAATAGAAGTAACAGAACAATTACAGCCCTTCAGATTGTCTGGATGCTAGTTTTGCAGTACAGGTGAGAACAAGCACTTTTAGTTGTGCCCAGAAATGGATAGCTAGTCTATGCAGCTGATTTAGCAGGAATTTCTATTGTACCTATAGCCAACTGCATTCAGAAGTCAAGAGAATAAATAGTGGAGCCACTGAGGTGTTCTAACATTTTCCAGAAACAGCTCAAGTAGAGTGCATTGTACAAATAAAGTTTGTTAGCCTTAAGGTGACTGTGCTATTTAAGCGTATACTAAGAATAATAAGCAAATTTTGTCAAGTACTGTTATTTAACATCTAGTGCTAATAGTGAAAGAACAGCAGAGAAGGGTCAAACCTTGCCTTTCTTGACAAAGAGTTTCAGAGCCTGGGGGTTGCCACAGAGAACGCTGTCTCTCCATTTCTAGTTACGGTAAGTTTTTTTAAAGACATCAGAACTATACAAAGTGCCTCTCCAGCAGAATTCAAAGCTGGGTAGGCTTGTACTGAAGAGTACAATATTTCCACTTATTCTGGTTCTCCTTTCTTTTTAGGTAAACTAATACTAATGTTTTAAGTGATTGTGTTTTAATTTTAATTGTATTTTAATGACAGAACAAATTAAATTCTATTTTAATCATTTTAACTGAGGTGTATTTTAATTATTTAATTATTTAATTATTTTGTAACTGTATCAGAAGATGCTTTGGGCCCCAGTTTTGGAAGAAAGGCAGCATATTAATAGATAAATAAAAATAAATATATTCACTTACAGAGATGTATTGCGTCAATATAAAAGTCATGTGCTGTTTTTTATAAGTTTGTGATTATATGTACCTGAAAAGTTCCTGAAATCCAAAGAAACAAATCAATTCTTCAGCTTCATGGTAGATTTGGATGGTCTGTATAGATCTAAGATGACACTGCAGTTCTTCCAACTTTTTTTATGTATTCTTTTGAGACTGCAAAGTTGTTTTCCATCTACTGCACCTATTTTTAATCTATTTTCTATTGCATTCCAGTTTAAATGCCATGTCCACATATTTTCTAGATACATCTAATGAACAGTTTTGCAAGTAATTTGGATAGTCATATGCCTTTAGGTATGTTTTGGTAAATGTGACATTTTTACTGCAATTCAGGAAACAATCTATCCTTACTTTAAAAGCTTCCTGTGGCAATTATGGCCGCCTAGAGTGGCCATAATGACCAGATAAGCAGGATATAAATAGAATAAATAAAATAAAATAAATAAAATATGGGTGCACACAATTTTGTCACATTGTGTACAAGTTACATGCATGCTGAAATTGCCTTTAGTCAGCTAGGCCTTGCCACTGCTGATCACACTATCAGTGTTGTGCATGCAGAGCTGCACAACAAGATTTTAGCCATCAACTGACATATTTTGGCTGCAGAACTCATGGAAGTGTTAACACTTTTCTAATGTGCTCTTCCAAAAACAAAAAAACAAACAAAAAAAAACAACTTACATTTTTATTCTTTCCCAGATTTGAATTTTGTGAACCAGCTTTTGTTGTTGGAAACTGCTTGCAAATAGCATCAGACAGTCATCAGTATGATCGGATTTACTGTGGAGCAGGTGTACAAAAAGACCATGAGAATTACATGAAAATCTTATTAAAAGTTGGAGGTATCCTCGTTATGCCAATAGAAGACCAGGTGACTATTATTTTTTTCTTATATGTTTCAGTAGCTGTTAAAATGTATTATTGTCTATGGGTTTTTATTCTTGATTTTCTTTTAATAGCAAATGATTTCATGCATTAAACATGAAGATATTTTATAAACCTTAAAGAGGGGAATGACAACATACGGCAAACTATGGTTAGCATACCATTCCAGTGCCTACATCCTCCAAAGGTGTTCTCATTCATGTATAGTATAACTTATGAGGATGGTTCTCTGCTCAATTAGCTTTGAGTAGATTTTCAATTTTACTTTGGATACGAGTCCCTCCTCTGGTTATAAAATATTATTGAGGCCAACATTCCCCCTAAGCTGCACGGGCACACAACACTGGATTGGGACCACCCATTTGCTTTCATTTGCAACAGGATCTCCACGCACATGGGGCATGGCACCCACAAAGTGCTCCAGAAAATTATAGGGAACATTGATTGGGGCACATAAACTAAGTTTTCAGACATTGCTACCAAAATGAAGCATATGGGGGCAGGTGTTTAACATTAATAATGTCCTGCCCCATTCTCAAATGAGTTGACAATCTTTGTTCTTAAATTAGCTTTAAATTAACTGTTCTTTGCTGACAGCAAAGTCATCATTATGCATCAATTCATCAAATTTAAGAATCAAACTTTTTCAGTTAGTGCCTGCTTTACTTTCTGTCCTTGTGTTTTGTGGTTTTTATATCCTATTTGTTTAGACACAGACTTTCTTAATTTCAGGGCCAGGACTGGGTTTTATTGACAGTGCATCCCCTGATGGACCTCCTAAGCTTAGGAGATAGATTAATAGCACCATCACACAGGCAATTGTGCTGATCACATTGCAGTTCCAGCTTTCCACGTGCCTTTTTTCATTAGTGCTGTATGAAAAGTGCTGGATGGGGCACCCATATGCAGTGCTGATCTTTGGTACCTCTGAGTCCTCTCCCCATGTGGGTACATTAGGAGTGATGCCTTGAGCCATTAGGAATAAAGATAATGGCAATAATTGCAGCCAAGTGATCAATTATTTTATGTAAATTAGCCTTCTAAAAATAACAATAAAAAATAACATGAGCAAATAAAAATGATTGCAAAGAGGAGACTGTGGTGTTTGTACAAAGACAACTTATTTATATAGTTTTATATCAGGCAGTATAGCTACAGCTTCTCTAAGTGGATCCCTGCATGCTCTGGTAGTATTTAATGCAGTTTTATGGAACTACCTAGTCATATCAGAAGACTCATATTATTTCATTATTCAGTTATTAGTAGTTTTATAGTGTAGAAGGATTTAACTGAAAAATAACCAGTATCATGGGAATTTGTCCCTAAAAGCAATGTAAACAAGACAGATCAGGTTATCTGTATCTAGATACATTGGTATGGATATAAAATGCTCAGTGTACAGATAAAATGTAAGTTTTCTTTATATTTTTCCAATTAGGGATACAATGTTTTAAAAGACATGAAATTTTTAGTGATACAGTAATACTTAGTACCTATTTTTTATTCATAGATATCAAAGGGCTTTTCTACGGTAAGTATAATTATCTCCATTTTACAGATGGGGAAGTTTAGGCATAGTGAAACATGACTTGCTGAAGATGACTGTATTCGTAAGAAGTGCCCAATAAGTAAAAGAAGTGCCATGGTAAATTCTCTTCATCATGCTCTCTAAGCATTCACAGTAATAGGTTTGTGCCTGTATAGAGCCACCTTTTAGGATCTTTCCATATACACACAGGTCTGTGAATAACTCCTCCACTCCTCTATCCATAATGAATGTGTCAGCACACATCCCTTCACTTTTGTTCATCTAGTACAGCAGCCATATTCTCATAAAACTTCTTGAGAGGGAGAAATAAATTGAAATAATTTTCCTTGAGTTGCAACATCTGGTTCGTTCTCTTGTCACATTATTTTTGTGTAGGTACTGTATAGTTTTTTTCACTTATCTTTTGTACGAAGGGAAAAAAACTTTGTTTTTTTCCATTAGGGTCTGCAACCCCAGGGACTTTTTTCTAATACAATGGTGCCTCGCTTAACGATTTTAATTGGTTCAAAAAAATTGTTGCTAAGTGAAAACATCGTTAAGCGAAACGTGGTTTCCCATTGAAATGCATTGAAAACTGGGTAATCCGTTCCAATAGGAATGAATTGCCATCCTTAAGCGAAAATCGCCATAGGAAACATCGCTAAGCGAAATGCAGTTCCCCAATTGAAATGCATTGAAACCTATTCAATGCATCTCAATGGGGGGGGAAAATTCAACAACAAATTTAAAGAGAGTCAGAACAAAGTCAAATTTGGTTAACAAAGGGTTTATTAAGTGCACTTTATGATTTCAAACATTTTAAACAGTAAACTTTAACTTTATAACATTTAAAAAACAGCAAACATGCGGCTGTTTAAACCATTGTTAAGCGAAGCAGGGGACCCCAAAATTTAATTGTTATGTGAAGCATGGTCCCAACATCGCTAAGCGACAATTGCCCATGGGGACCATCGTTAAACGGAGTGCAAAAACGCTCCGAAAAAGTCATCGCTAAGTGAATTCATCGTTAAACAAAGCGCTCGTTAAGCGAGGCACCACTGTATGCATAAAGTGTAAGGGGGCAATCCTTATTACAGAAATCACTATAAGTGCCTTTTTTATTTGTTTGTGGAGGCATATAATATCCTCTTGTAAAATTTGGTAAATTTTCTCCACTCAAATGTGGAGAAACCACAGCACCAAGTTGAAATCACTCTTTTTCAAGAAGGTACTCTTGGCAACAGCTTCCCCAGCACCAAATATATAAATCTGGGGAGCTCATGAGGTCCTTAAAGTCCTGATTACTCCAGCAGCTTCTGTCACAACTATCACTGCAACATCTCAATCAGACCAGCTGACTTAGCTTAACACAACATCAGTGCCAATGCCATGGTCATATGAGTTGGGTCCATCAAAGATCTGTTCATACTGGCTCAGGCCCAGTAATCTTTACTATATGCCTTGCTGGTTATTTCATGTACCCTCAAGCAATTACACTATCTTCTTACAGTACTTTCTGTTCCAGAGGATCAGAAGAACAGAAGTGCTGTGAGCGTTAGGGTCAGTGGGACGATTCCTATGGATCTCATTTGAAATCTCCACGCTAGCAGCTCACTAATTTTATCTTCCTGTTACACTTGACCTTCATGTTACACTTGGTCTGTTTTCATTATCAGTGGTGTCATCCTCCTTGATAGTAACTACACTTTCTCCTTCGTGGCCTCTGTGAATACATACTAATGGGTTAATCTGTGCTCAAGCAGAGTATTTTGGGAAACTTTCACAGCTTTAAGCACTTAGTGCTGGGACCTCCCCTACACCAGCTATATAACTCCTCTCCCGGCACGAATGCCTCCGTTCTTTTTTCGACTGCCGCTGTAGCAGCAGCTTTGTTTGGAACTTCGCAAGTAAAAACTGTTCCTTTCTTTGACCTTCTCTTGTTCTTTCTTCTGTAACAACTGCTTGGGGGGAAAAGTACTAGCCGGCATTAGCTGTTCTTTGTAGAGGCTTTACAAAGCCGGCTTTGCAGCCCTCAGGACTTTTCTCTTAAAGAAATAAGGTCTCTTTTACCTTCTTTATAAGGCTACCCCAGGCTTGAGAGCAGCAGCTTTCTGCCTGTTTGCAATCTTCCTCTTTCTATCAAAAGAAGAGGACAGCATCTGAGCTTTGCCCTTGGAAGAAGAAAGAGCCGCCTACAGCTCTGACCACTATCCCTGCTTGTCAGTGATTCTCCTGACACGAGATAAAAGCCTCTCTGAGAGGTTGGTGCGGAACAGCCCTCTTGCATCAAGGGGCTTGTTTATATAGCTGTCAAGTCTGCGGTAAGTTCGGCACCTGTAGCTCCAGAGTTGGGAACCTTGGAAGAAGAGAGGGGCCCCTGCAGTGCTAGCTGTCATCCTTGCCTGTCAGTGATTCTCCTGACTGGCTCACCTTCCCCCTCCAGCAATGGAGACAGCGACAGCAGTAGCAGGAACAGATAGGGAGGCAACAGGATCAATGGGGAGGGGGCCGACAGGCGACCATTTTGCCAAAGTAAAATGAAGCACTGAGTGAACGAAAGTTTGGCACTTTGGATCCCTGAGCTAGGTCATGAATTGAACCATGAACCAGCCTGATTCGTCAGTTTCTCTGGTTCGTTGTTTGATTTTGCTCATCTTTATTCCAAACCATTTCTTTGAGTTAGGCAAGCTGAGGAAGAAAAGCTGTACTTCCTATGGACATGCTGTGTGCATGTATTCCAAAATATGTCCCTTTGGTTTTTGAAATAAAAAAGAAGAAGAGGTTGGAGTTAGCAAAGAGTCTCAGTAGAAACCAAAGTCAACATCATACGTACAATGTGAAAGAAAGACAGTGAATAAAGATAACCATTCACACTTGTTGAAAAGCAGCCCTGACATTTGATTTGGGTGAAAAGTGGTTAACTGATGAGAAAAGGAATCTGCTTCTGGGATTTCCCCTCGTTGGTGTCACTTTGTGGATGCTAGTGAGCAAAGAAAGTATTTGACATGGGATATTCATATTCCCCAGGGATGCCTCTTGATCAATGGGCTCGTTCACACAGTAGCCTGCAGCCCCACCTTAGCCACCAGCACCTGCATAGGCTCATAAGGAAAGGACTCATAGAATCAACCCTAAATCCCTGCTACTATCAGGTAGACCCGAGTAATTTTCCTCAGGAGGGTCCTATCACGGCAACAAGTTCATGCAGCACCAGTCCCTTTTATCTGGTACAGGAGCTATGAGCCTTTTCCGCCACCTTTTCTGCCACCACCACCGCCCCACTCCACCTGGCACTGTTCTGAGCCACAGGCTAAGGAGTGCTTTGTGCCTCCGCCTATGCCTCAAAGGTGTAGTGCTCCCTCAAACTCGGCTCCGGCAGCAAAGTGTCCACGGGTTCAACCTAACCCGCTGTTAACTCTTTCAGCCTTCTCTGTCCTGGCAACTGTATTGTGGCTCATGCTAGGAAGGACTTACCTTATTCAGCTGGGACTCGCAAGAGTCAGAACAGGAGGAAGACTTCCAAACAAGCTTCCTGCTCCTATATCAGTTGTTGCAGATAGTCACCCTCCTTTACCGTTAACAGATAAGGAGTTCTTTGGTCAATATTTTTATTTTCTGGCCACCATGTAGACAACTAGTCCTCTGCCATGGGTGCTTATCATCATCACTTATTGAATTTGGCATTGCCAATTCTGTGAGTAACTCCTGTGCACCTTTACAGTTAAGGCCTCCCATATTACTAGGAGGCAATGGGGTGGGCACATCACGAGTGCATTGCTGCTCAACATGCCTTAAAACAGCATCCAAACAACTGACGGGTTGAGGATCTGCCGTTTGTTGGTGTACGGCTTTTAGTCAGAAAACTGATGTTATTCTTGATAACCTGCCCAAGCTCCGGAAGGCGGCACGGTCATTTGCAGTGTAACAACTGTGGATACCTGGTGATGCTCCTACCACCCCAGAGCATATTGGGAACATCAAAGGCCTCAACCCCGAATTTAACAACCACCACCCCCTAGACATCTCGGCAGGCAACGCCTTGACCAACAGATCTGCAGGCAGGACCACAAAACCGAGCGGTTTCTTTACTGCACCTGACTTCTCTGTCGTTGACCAGTCAGGCCATCTGGCCCCTCGTCTTTCCGATTGATGTTCCTTCATGCTTAATATGTGGGTACTCTCTATCATAGCTATCGGCTATGCTATTGACTTCAATATACCCACTGTCATAGGCCACATTATGGCCACCCCTCCACCACCACCACCCAAAAAAAGGAATGGAGGCCTCTGGCATCCCCTTGATTTTGAATGCATCAATTCTTTTATTACTCTATGTAGATTCCGTATGGCTTTCTTAGACTCTTTTATTCACATGTACATCCAGAGAGTTGGTTGGATGCATGTTTTCATGATGGCATCCGGTCAGGCCATCAACATTTTCTCAGGTTTTCATTAGGTTTACCTGTAGCTGGATAACTGGCTCCTGGTTGCTGAGTCCAAGTCACAAGCTGGTAAACACATGCCCTTGACGTCCCTTTGTCAGCGTTAGGATTGAAGGTCAACATAGAGAAGTAGACTTTGAAACCTTCACAGTGTGTAGCTTGTATTAATGCGACTTGGGATGCTTTCTTTAAGCAGGGTTTTTCTTCCCTGATGACAAGTCTGTGAAATTGCTTGATTTCTTATGCTTCTTTTTTCTTCAGGCGCTTGCTTCCCTGTCTTACAGGTCCAGCAAACATCATGCTTGGTCACCTTGCTAGCCATGGTTCTTGATCCTGCTCCCCTGAGCTGTGGAATACATCAGGCTGCACCTGGTCCCCCATCTGCTTTTTCGGGACGAGGATTGGATATTTCATTCGGACCCCGAGTCCCCCTACCTGTCCACATGGAGTCTTCCCTGACTGTAACAGACATGCTCAATCATGCGTGCAAACCTTCTACCACCTTGACCTACTCCTAGAATGGAGTAGGTCAAGGTGGTAGAATAAATAAATAAATAAATA